GTTTGTTTGAGGTGCTCTTTGTGACACGCCAAGTCTCTGATCTGTATAGTAGTACTGACTTCACATTGGAGTTGAAAATCCCGATCTTATTTTTGATGCTGAGCGCTGTTTACCTCCGCACAGGCTTGAGAGTAGTGAAAGCTTATCTTGATTTCTTAATAATAATAATAATAATAATTTGCCTTATTCCAAAACAGTACTTGTGATACAGAATGGAATTCTCAGCATTTTTTTACTACAGTATTGCATCCAGTTAGTACATTGTCAATAAATAGAATTCTACATAGATTGAGGAAACCACAGTTCATTATTACAACAATACATTGGCATGTTCAGTAGCAAGGGTAAAGCTGAAACAGTGTTTGAAGGTGTTAGAAAAGTGGGAGCTGTCTTATTAACTGGCGTAAGCGAAAGAAAGAGACAAAGCAGCACATAACGGAAAAAGAAGAGAGAGAAACGGAACAGAAAGAAAGGAAATGTTGAACCTATTTCCCGATTCTTGCTTTGATATCCTCGTCAGTTCCGCCTGTAGTTGAAACAATGCTTCCCAAGTAGGTAAAGGAGGTAGTTTCTTTCAGGTTTCTCCCATTTATGCTGATTGTTGTCTGTTGTTGCTGCTGTGGCTGTTGGTGTTGGCCAGGAATCTTCATCACCTCTGTTTTCTCTATGTTCACCTGAAGTCCCTCCTATCTTTGATGCTTCTTCTGCCAACTTGTTGCTTTTCGCTTGCATATCTTCCAGTTTGTGGGAAATCAGATATATATCATCGGCGAAGTCGAGATCCTCCAAGTTTTTTGTGCGAGTCCATTTTATGCCTATTTCTTCATTGCCCACTGTTTGTCGCACTATCCAGTCTACTGCAATCAGTAAAGTCATTGGCTATAGTAGGCAGCCAGCTTGTCTTACTCCTGTCTTCACTTCGAAGGATTCCGTAAGTTTCCCATTGTGGATTAATTGGCATGCAGCATTGTCGTACAATTGTTGGATGAGATGTATAATTGTCGGTGGCACCCCGTAGTGGCGAAGTAGTTTCCAAATCACCTCCCGATCGACGCTGTCGAAGGCCTTTTCAAAGTCGATGAAGTTGAGATAGAGAGGTGACTGCCATTCCAGGCTTTGTTTAATGATGATCCGTAATGTGGTGATCTGATCAATGCATAACTTGTTTCTCCCGAATCCAGCTTGTTCCGGTCGAAGTTTTTCATCCAGGTTGGCATGTTTGATTCTCTCCAGGATGATGCGGCTTAGTATTTTGCTTGGGATGGACAGGAGCATAATTCCGCGCCAGTTCGTGCATTGACTTAGGTCTCCTTTCTTTGGTAGTTTGAATAAGTATCCTTTCTTCCAATCCTCGGGTACTTTGCCTTCTTTCCACACCTTCTCCAGTAGTGGCGTCATCAAGTCCACTGTTGTCTCTGGGTCCGTTTTCAATGCTTCTGCTGGGATTCCATCTGGTCCTGCTGCTTTTCCAGCTTTTAGCATCTTGATTGCCTTCAGGACTTCTGATTTCGTCGGGGGGTTGATGTTCACTGGTAGCTCTGTCTCCGTCGTTGGTACTGTTGGGCGAATTGTAGGTGGTGGTGGATTTAGGAGTCTTTTGAAGTGTTCAGCCCAGTGTTTCCTTTGCTCCACTTCTTTGGTGATTGACTTTCCATTGTCATCCTTCACTGGCTTAATTCGTGACGAATTTTTGCCTGAGAGGAACCTAGTTGTTTGGTAGAGTGTTGCGAGGTCTCCTTTGCCTGCACTGCCGCTTGTTCTGCTTCACTTACCATGGCTTCATAATACTTTCTTTTGTCTTCCCTAGCACTCTTCTTCACTCTTTTGTTCAGTGTCTTGTAGTTTGCATTCAAATCCTGTTTTGTTGCTGGTCGGTGCACTGGAGAATCTTTTTTTCACCATCCCTCTCTCTTCTATAAGTCTCCAAGTGTCCGTAGTGAGCCACTGTTTGTCCTGTGTCTTCCTATTTCCTAGAACTTCCATGCAGATTTGACTACACACTGTTTTCAAGTTGTTCCAGTGCTTTTCGACGCTGACCTCTTTAGTTGCGGCATAACACTTGCCTAAATAGATTTCGTTCACTAGTTGACCATAACAATCAACAGGAAACGGAACGAAATTTGGGTTGTCGCTTGACCTTGTTGGTGACATTAGTGGCGAGTTTTCAATTTAACATTTATAAGAACCTGTTCTGATTGCTTATACAATAATCCATCAATTTAAAATTTATGGTACTACACGATTTTAATTTATAACGTAACTGGTCGTGCCTGTAAAAATGGCATGCATTTCCTGTAAAATTACCCCTTTGTACGAAATATTAATTATTATTATTATTAGAACAAAGCTTTCGATAGTCTATGATAAATTCCAATCTTGCGTATCAACGGACGCATATTTTTGTCACCAAATCGTAACGGTGTGATAACTTAAATATTTAGACCAGTCTGTCTGATGAGGTTGTGTCTCAGGCTGAACAATGGACTCAAAATGGATTCATAAATCTGGATATGGAAGAAGGCGATATTTATTTCGATTACTCCATTATTGGAATTCAGCTTAGATTTGTTACAAGTCTCCTTTTCGGTTTGGCAGAATTCCTTACTCCTTCAGCCAGGCGCTTTTTAACTCATGAAATATACCCATTTACTCATTATTAAGCAAAAACATGTTTTTTTCAAGATAAATGGAGGTATAGATAATCATGGAATGTTTTAATCGGGAGAAAATGAGAAAGTATTTCGTTTCTCAAAATAACAATATAAAAGCCTTCAATCGAAATCAATTTGTAGTCCAACTATAAAAGGGAAAATATTCAAAATCCACTAACTAACATCAAGATTACAATGCAAGACCAACGTGCGAAAACCTGCTGGGTACATTTCAAATTACCCCGGCTATGGTACTCATAAAATTGGGAAAGTTGGCTTCGGGAAAGTCTGCAGGTTGCGACGACATAAGACCATCCGTCCTGAAGCAGTGTTCAGAAAGTCTCTGCCAACCCCTAAGTGATCTGTTTCAACACTCCTTTGATGTAGGGAAACTTCCATGTGAATGGAAACGAGCCATCCTATCCCCTATCTTCAAGGGTGGTGACCGGCAGAACGCGACCAGTTACAGACCAGTTGCGCTACTCCCAGTGATATCGAAGATATTGGAAAGTCTCATTGACGACCACATGAGAAAATACTTCGACGGGACTAACCTACTCCATGAAGCACAGCATGGTTTCAGGAAGGGAAGATCCTGTGTGACGAATCTTCTACTAGCTTGGAACGATTGGACACTATCCTGGGATGTAAAGGTACCAGTCCATGTGATCTTTCTCGACTTTGCGAAAGCATTCGACACAGTTCACCATGGTCTGCTCCTTCACAAAATAAGCAAAGCGGGTGTTTCTGGAGCACTTCTCGCATGGCTGGAAGATTATTTAGGCGAGAGAGAATTCTGCACCAAAGTCAACCGCATCCGATCATCCTGGCACACCTCGGCATCAGGGGTTCCTCAGGGTTCTATCTTAGGGCCGTTGATGTTTTTGATTTTTATCAATGACCTGCCCTGTCAACTGAATTGCTCTGCGCTTCTTTACGCTGACGACGTAAAGATTTGGAGAGCAATAAACTCATCGGAAGACTCCGACAGATTGCAGGCTGACCTGCAAACGCTGGGGGACTGGGCTCTGGCTAACGGAATGCCTTTCAACTTAAAGAAGTGCAAAGTAGTGCAACTTCATTCCGGCAGGTCACAGAGTGCAAATTACACCCTTGGTGGCCAGAACTTGAGCTGTGTGCCATCAGAACGCGATCTAGGCCTTATTTTAACAGAAAAGCTAGACACCAGTGTAAATTACACGAGGGATGTCGCCAAAGCTTACGGCACTTTACACTTTATGCATAGGCAACTGGGAGCTCTTACTCCTGAACTATTCCTAACGTTGTATACGACATACGTGAGGCCACTCCTTGAGGTGCATAATATCATTGCTCCTCCGCTACTCAAAAGGGATGCTAACATGCTAGAAAGTGTCCAGAGACGAGCGACAAAATGGGTGATCGGCCTCCGCAACAAATCATATGAGGAGAGACTGAAGAAATTAAGTCTTTTCACACTTAGTTACCGTAGTCACAGGGGAGACCTCATCACCATCTATAAGATCCTAAATGACCAGGCCCATCCTGATAACAGCATCCTGCCATTAAGTGATTATAGGCTTCCACGAGGTAACCCGCTAAGGATAGCACACCAGAGACCAAGGACTCGAGTGCGTTCACATTTCTTCTCGCTTCGAGTTTGCCGTCTCTGGAACGCTTTACCGGCGGCCGTAACTACAGCTCCATCTGTGGAGATTTTTAAGCGGAAGCTGGACAATCATGCAGAAATGCATGGTTTGTGTCTCAATGGCTTACCCTCTTAAAATTTGAAACCACATTGTCAATGGATAAGCATACAAGCTAAATCTTCACGACCCGTCCTGTCTTCTCCCACTGTACCGACTACTGTATCTTTCTTTCTTTATTATTTCACTTACCTCAACCTATATTATCTACACTACAACCTATTATTATCATTATTATTATTATTACTCTACTTTTATGACTATACCGAATGACCAACGGGTGTTAGGTCAAACTCCATTCACGGCAGCAGCTGAGTCCTAACATACTGCACACTACAAACCACAATCTTGACCAATCCTCGCATCACTCCTCCTGGAGTCTACCAGAGCTAAAGCAGTCGAGTGGCGGGATTTACTACGCATAAGTTCACCGAAGATCTGGAACCTCTACCTTAAAATCAAGAAGCGAGCTCAAAGAAATCACTGGTTTATACTAGCTCGTAATCAGGATATTGGATATTGGATATTGGAACTGCGTCAACCACTGCTATCACAGGAACCTGGTTGCTTCTTACGAATTAAAATCTAATAATAACTTGAAGACTTCAGAATCATGGTTAAGGCATGACCAATGAAATAATATATTCAGTTACTTGCTACGTAAGTACCTTATGGTCTTGGACATTGAAGAAGTTCGCGAGAAAAGGATTACTACGCTACAACTGACTTAGCATTCTTCGCTATAATGAAGAGCAACACTCAGCAGCTTCCTGAAAACGATGTGGGACCTTTGACAGCTTCAGACAAATTAACAAATGGACTGCCTGCTGATGGTTTGAAGGATGTGGATGAATTGGTTCTGGAAGATATCCGCGATCAGATTCGATATATCGAGAAAGCTGTGATGACTAAGGAACTGTATTATATGACCAGAGTTGTGCGTGGCTTGTCAAGTATTCGACGTAGACTGAATTGCAATGTACTGAGGGGTCTAGTACAGGGATATTTCCCGAATCCATCTCCTCAGAAAACTTATTTCCTAGAGTTTTTACCAGAGGTAATTTTACATTTCAGGTATTATCTTTCAGGCTATGGACACTGACTGTCCACCCTCTCCCTTCCGTCCTCGTTCAGGGAAGCCAAATTCTTCACTGCTCCCCGAAGTGGAGGTTTACCTGCACCTCCTATTGCTAATATATCTGATCGACGAGAATCACTTCGAAAAAGTATGTATCATTCATATTTTAACACTGTATATATGTCTTAGCACTTTCCATCCGTAATAATTGTTGATTCCTCGTGGTATACCATTGGTTTTTGTGCATTTGTTTAGGCTCGTTATAACATAATACGTCTGTTTGTGAATGGTGTGTACATGTTCCTAATAATTTAGGTTACCATTCATAACTAAAACGGTGTAAGGATTCTGCATTACTGATTCTGTCACCTTTTAATAATATTTGTGATCAGGTTATATCTATATTTTCTTCCACCCTATCTATCATCTGTGGTACTTATCTATTCATTTATTTTTATCTCATTTGCCTTCCTCATCCTATATCTATACCATAGAAACCGGAATTTATGTAACCGTAAGTAGTAAATGTGTGTAAACTAGTTAGTAGTGCAAGGGCTATTATGTTCCTTCATGGCTTTTGAAACATCAAAGGTGTTCGTTGTCACCTACAGGAAATGGAAGCACTCAACAATTTCGGTTCGTAAATTTGCTAATACACACTATCATAAGCTGCAAAGTGGCTACTTGGCATTTTGATCCGATATTTACTCGGAATTGTTAAAATTGCTTCTTTTTAGCTCACAGTTAGTCACGTCTTAAACCGTGTTCAATCTACGATAATTGGAGTATTTCTATTGGCTCCCTCTAGTAAGCGTGTAATTGCTTGCTGAGTCATATGGTATTATTATGCTGTAGTTTATGTCGATCCAGTAATTTTCATGTACTATCACGAAAAATGTCGCTTCCTCTATAGAAGTGGTCTATAATTCAAAATGCTTGCTCACTGGGAATACTTGGGACAGTATATATTAGTTAGAAAGGATTTTTCTTTTTTATAGCGTATTTCGATTACTCGTCCTGGCATCAAGTAGTCACTGGTTACTCAAAATATCCAGTCCACCGACGTCATTTGTTAACACCACGGGATAAAAACAGGTGACATGATGTTTAAAGTAAAATTACTTTAAACTTGTTAACATTGGATCAGGTTGATAAAGAGCCCAGTGGTGGTCAAAACAAAACATCTCTTCATCAGTCACTGAAACCCACGACAGTTGGTTTAAGCCAGCCAGCCACGTAGGTGTAGACTTCCTGGTCGGGGTTCTCAGGAAGGTAAGAACCAATGAAGGCTGGAGACAATTAGTGATATGGCTCAAAATCGTTCTCAACGGCTGGCGCAGATGCATTCACTCTTTGCGATTTGTCATATCCGACAAAATTCTATTGTTCTCCCATATTACTTTTCTTTTTGCCTCATATTTCTGTTGATTATCCCTCTTTACTCTCTCCTCTTGCTTTGTGTGCTATAATGAGTGAGTGTGGAAACTCTAACTGCTACACATGTGTGCAAAGTTCTACGTTGAAAGCAGTCAGTCAGTTAGAGTAAAATAATACATATACTCTTGTACATTTATTATTCAACCCATCGGTAGGTTTTCTGGGTGGGTATTCATCCAAAAATTGGGGTTTTGCGTTTTGAAACTTAATGTATCAGAAGGCTTAGTGTTTGACCATCACTTTTTGTTAGTGTCATTTATATCTGGCATTATTATCAACGAAACGTGGTCTAGTAATTGAAACTGAAACGTTTCCATTAACCCCGTTTTCCATGGGTTTAGCTCATGTTCAAGTACAATTGCAGTTCATTGAACAAGTCTTCGTATAATTTGTTAGGTTTTAATTTTTAGAGGGCTATTTTCCAAAGTATAGAATGAAATAAAAAGCGCTTACTAAACAAAATATTCAAATCATTCTATGAGTACGTCTGTTTTGTAATACATTGTTAGTAAAGTCCATTGAAAATTGTGTCGGGAAAGATTAAATGATTTTCCAGTTTTTATTTGGTATAAGACTGTTAAAACTTATCGGTTCGTATTATACGCGAAATTTTAGTTTGGAGGAGTGTTTATTGGTCCGTCAGTCATCGTTTATTCTTCAGGTAGGTGTCCATGTCATAAGCTCGCATCCACTTGCTACTTGTAACCATCTTAAACTTAAGTGTTTTTTTCCAGTTTTGAGTCATTGAACTCTTGTATTTGTATCTAGTTATTTGAGAAACAAGGCTAAAATATACTTGATTGTGCGTTGCATTTTCAAGTGACTTTTTCTTTAGAAAACTTCAGTATTGAGGTGATTCTAACATTATTTCTTATCTACTACATTCATATCATATTTTACTACTGAGTACATATGTTTATGGAATATTGTCTTTTTACTAGGCTTGCTTATGTTCTCAACTGCTGATGGGTCGTTTGAATGCCACCAGTCGACGTTCTATGGCATTACTTGCCAGTCGTTGTTATTACTACCACAGTCGTAGCTACGAACTCGTTGGCCGTCTTGAATCTGTACGTTCCTTCTTTCATGCTCGCCTATCTACTGCTACCCTTAGATCAGTAAGTGCTCCCTAAATTTTACATTATATCGCTTCAATGTTAACGTCATATTTTTATTCCACATTTACTTTAATGCTTATTGCTTATTTTTATTTATGTAAGACAAACGTGGTACAAGATGCGCATAAAGTGATGTGCCACACAAAATAGAACAACAGTATAAAAACAAGAGAAATAAAAGAGTTGTAATGCAATTGAATGAAAGGAGTAACAATTCAGAGTGCACCGTAAAAACAAGCCATCTGGCATGGTGGTCACATTGCAAACTTGACTGATAGAATTCAGTCATCACACAAAGGGCTAAATGCATAACAATTGCTACCTATTGTCTAAACCAATACTTACTTTACTTTACTTCGGCTATCTCCTACGGAAGGATGAGCCGGCTTCATGAACATCTCGAATCATCGCTGCCTAGGCGCGGCGATCTGATGAAGAGAGTTCAAGAAGTTTCATGGGAATTTGGTACGAGTGATGTCCCCAGAATCGCCCGGCCTTTGTTTGAGAGTGCAGCTCTAGCCTTTACACAACCAAGTGTGACCTACATGGCAGTAGGAGTGGAGTAGGGAGTCCACTATCCATTGGCAGCCGGTGACCGGAGTTCGGTTCATACTCCTTTTTGAATGGGGCCAGACATCCAGGACATCCAACAAGCCCTTTGTCCATACGTCTGCCGGTGAGCTCCAGTGAGCTTCATACGCCGGTCGTTGGAGGTTTGGAGTCAGGGTTTAGCCACCTCCCCTAGACTGTCATCCAATAGACAGTCAACCCGGTGAAGAGCGCCGGGCATCCGCTTTTGCCCTCTCACTTTGGTGAAAAACACTTCCGCCACGTGAAGGCAGTGGGTAGGACTTCGTCAGGAGAGGCTATGTAAGACGCCCGGTCATATGGGAGCATTTCAAGAGGTGTGCGGAGGGGTGGCCAACCCGCAGCGCAAGGCACCCACCCCCGACCATCCTGAGGCTTTGGAGGCAATACAGTCATACAGGTGATCAATCGCGAGCTCTAATAGCTCAATGGCAACGTCTCTGACTGCAGTACTAGGTGACACTGGCTAGAATCTCAGGGGGAACATGAGTTCCCTCAAGATTGCAAATATGCCTTGCTAATGAGTGCCAACAAGTGCAAAACCTAGGTCCAAGGCCTCCTGCCTCCAACCATCTAATAACAGTAAGCAGGCTTGCCCAGTACATCTCAAAGCGAATCGGTTACTTCATATGACTTTCAGAAATAGAAGACAAAGTAAACTTTCCAACATCTTTAGTAGAAATTTAGACCCCGAGTTATATATGATAACGTCGTAAGCCACTGGATTGCATGGTCACTTGAATCTCACTCAAGAAGTTGTCTTTTCGTTTAGGAACCTTTGCTGTATATATGACCTCTAACTAGATTGGTAAAATGGTAAAATAGCGTACAGTCAAAGACTTCATGGGTTGATGCCATGTGTTGATTTGACCACCCTTAATTCCTCTCCAAAATAATCCCATGTCAACTAACATTTCTCAATGAGGAGGGCGATGAATTGACATCATTAACAAGTGTCCTAGCCATCAAAATCGATGCAGCTTCACAATTTCACTGACTTCCTTCCTTTCCGAACACTACGCATAATCTCAATATTATTCACCATATTATACCACAATACGCGAGACAGGACACAGGTGCTCACTGTGGATGATAAGGAGTCTCTTCATATGTTCAGCTTCCACAGATCACAATTTACAACCAAACGCGCCCTTCGTAGCCGTACTGAGATTTCGTCAACAGTCATGCCATTATCACTTCAGATGACAACGCTCCATAAGCTCTTACATGGCTGCGTGAGTTCAACTAGATTGCCACAATTACTTCCATTAAATTTCTCGGTACTCCCTTCACGGATAGACAGTGGTATCGTGAAAGAAAACAACGAGAGCTTGAGAATGCTAAAAAACTTTCTGAGGACGAGTTTAATGCATACTCTTGAATCTAACAGGTGGTGATCGTGATCTAGGGTTAGCAGGATTCTCAGTTGTTAGCTAACACTACAATACATTTGTATAAACTAGGTAACAGATGCTACTTAACTTATATATACATATATATATATATACTGTTCTGAAAGTCCAGTGGCGTCTGTTTTAGATTGTTAACTTAGACAGGTAGGCAGGTAGACGTATTCTATGTGTACATTTCCACACAGGGTTCCATATCTAGTATTATTTGCCGTCACTGGCAATGTTATGCAGTGAGGGACATATATTTTGGTTAGCGGATGTATCCGTACCTTATTAATTTATGGTGCTTGTAATCAAACTTCAAATAAACAAAGGAAAAATTTCAGATATGATTAAATTAAACCATGATCTTTGTATGAGTGTTATTTCATCCTGTATGATTTAATTCTAACAAAACAGGATATGGGATAACCCTTGGTTGGCTTTTATTACCTTATGGACTCCGTCGGACATGTCAACAGTCTTTAGTTAAATTGGTGGATGGTGACTAATAGTGGTGGAATCAAGAATGCGCATTTTGTCCAACTTGGGATTCGTCACTGGATGTATCTGCATTCCCAGTGAGTGAAGGTGTTCCCACTAGAGCTCGAACCCAGTACCCATAGTTTCAAACGCCAAAGCGTTATCCAATAAACCACTTGGATCATGAAAGCGACCTCTTGTGCGACGGGCATCAGCAATTATTTAATTCAACCTAGACTTCCTGGGGGATGCAGGTACATTCAGATGACGAGTCCTTAATAGGCCGAAATGCGCATCCTTCATTCCAGCGCTGCTAGTCACAATCCACCAGTTTACCTCAAGTTAAGTAATCAGACATTGTCGAAGCATCTGCACAAAGAGCCGACATGTCGACCTTGAGGCCGAGCATTTCGGTCTAATCAATCAGCGGGAAAATCCGAATTGAATTAAATAAATTCTCATACAGTGTATAATTAACGAATCTATTTCTTATTATAAAAGTACTGCTACTAAATACATGACTGAAAAGTAACTATCTTTGTGAATTAAACTACTGGAGTTTAGAGTATGTTTGAGATACGTGTTGAAGTGTTTTCACATATCACAGGGTTTTTACATTTATTTATTTTTGATTCAAATTTATTTAGAATTTTGATACTCAAGCTGTACTTATCAACTTATTACTACGTAACTATTTGCATTATCAACTACATGAACAAGCACATAAACTTGTCTCTCGTGTAGTCTTCCCAGAAAGTGCACCGAATAACGAATGGGCTAGATATCTTTATTATTTAGGTAAGTCAATTTTCTTTTTTTTTGATTCTTGTGAGAATTTTCTCTTGGTTTATTCCATTCTTTATTACTTGTGCTTTCCATACATAACCTTTTCATCGAATAACAAAAGATGATATGGTTTTTTGCATCCATCTCACCTTATGCTACTACTCAAGCTTTATAGTCTTACTAGGTGAAAATGATGACAAAATACAGAGTTTTCTGAACACCGTGAGCAGTCATCTTCGAATGTTTCTCATTCGGTTCTCTCCCGTCATATGTAATATTATGCTACAGAACTGGATTAAATTGACTCACTCCTAGCTTAGAGATAGGCAGGAGTGAAGAGGTAGAGAGTTTTGACTACTTCACATATTTGGGAAGTTGCATCGGTCCCAGTAAATTGATCGCTGACGAAATCTCATCCTAGATACATAAGGCTCGTCTGGTACATACCAACTTACGCCATCTCTACCGCGTAGATGTGATATCCGGCTGTCGACCAAAGGATGTGTTCAGCATTTCGCTCCGTCATTGAAAGTGGAAAGCATGAAAAAGCCGGTTAGCTGTCTTTGTTCATACATGCCTACGTTGGATCTCCCGTGTTAAGTGGTATAATAGGGTGAGCAATATTGAGGTGAGGCATCGCTTGATCGCCAGGTAAGGAGAAAAAATCAATCAACGCGGCTGTTAAGCTACATCGACTGAGGTGGTTAGGACATGTTTTGCGCATGCCTAGCCATCGCCTTCCTCGACGGGCAATGTTAGCTGACATAGCGTCAGGTTGAAAAAGAATCAGTGGTGGTCAAACCAAAACATGACATCAATCAATAAAATCCACAACATTTAGTTTAAGCCACGTGGGGAAGTGTACACTGGCCTCCTGGTTGGAGTCCTCGGGATGGTAAAAGTCAATGACTGGAAACAATTAGTGATATGGCTCAAAATCGTTCTCAATGGCTGGCGCAGATACACTAACTCTTTGTGATATGTAATATCCGATGAAATTCTATTGTTATAGTATATTACTATTCTTTTTGCTTCATATTGCTACCTATTATCCCTCTTTTGTAATTCTCTTTACTTTCTTCTCTTGGTTTGTGTGCTACAAGGAGGAAGTGTTGCAACTCGATTTGGTGCATTTCTGTGCGAAGTTCTGTGTTGAAACTAGTCAGTCATTAAAGCTTTATTTAAATTTCAACTTTGTGAAGTGTATACTGTTCATCAAGTGTCTGCTTCCCTCATTTCTCTTGTAAATAACTATTATCTGACGTATTCGCTCTACTGCAATCTAGTAAATACTTTCAGATCTTACGTTTTTGTATGGATTTTCGTTAATTTCAGTGTAGATTTGGTTACAAAATAACATCAGCTGGAGAATTTTTTTACATTCCTTAAAAATTATTGTGTGGTAATAAATCGAATGAACCACAATAGTCATGTATATTATCTGTCTACAACCAATGGTATACAATCACTGGTGTAAGCTCTCGGTCGGCTTTTAATTAATGGCTCCAGAGTTCGAATCCCGGTCCATCCAGCTCAGCCTGGACAATCGGGTAGTGTCATCAGCCTAGGAACATTAAAACGCGTGATTCATGGCCTGAATTATGAAACACCTGTTCTAAGAACTAATGTTAAAGAAGATGGATATATAACTATTCACTCAGAGAACACAATCAAATCGAGAGTTGGTTCCTCCGCCAATACTTAACTGAAAAAAACTCACTCTGATAGGGTAGAAAATGTTATAGATTTATGCAGAAAAGGGAGAGACATTCAAAAAATATGCCAATTAGTAGTTAATAATAGTGGCTAAAAGTGGCGAACGTTATTTTAAAAGATAAAACCGACTGGTTTTTCGTCCGTACAACTATGAGTATTTCGTCTCAGACTAATTTTGATTGGTCCGTTTTCAGACTATATATTTATCCCCATGTTAGAATCATCGGGGACCAAAGATCACTGACATTTTAAGGTGAAGGTCTCGAATCCGATCCCCGGGAGTGATAAATGTCCGCCATTGAAGAGTCCCATTGCTACCTGAAAAAATATTTAAATTAAAACACCATTATAGATAAGATTTTATTTTGATAAATCACAGTGTTATACAGTAATTTCAGTTAATAATAATATGACACTGTGATTTATCAAAATAAAAGCTTATCCATAATGGAGTTATACTCTACTGCAGTGCCCAAGTTTTATGCGTATATCAATTAAATTAAAACAGTTAGTCCCTTTGATAAATTTGAATAAGGTATTTAGAAGACAAATTTCGCGAGATGACGGCATCATTTCGGAGTGTCTTGACAACCGCTTTACAACTAACATGGTTCACAATAATAATAAACTAAAATGCATGACAATTACTCAGTTATATAAAAAACAAAAGTACATACTAATGACCAATTATATTTAGATAGGTCAAGTAGTCCATGTTAAGTGAAGGTTGTGTGTTCAAAAAGCTAAAAGACTTCAAGCTTCGCCTATCATAGACTACTTGACCTATCTAAATATGATTGGTCATTAGTATGTACTTTTGTTTTATATAACTGAGTAATTGTCATGCATTTTAGTTTATTATTATTGTGAACCATGTTAGTTGTAAAGCGGTTGTCAAGACACTCAAAAATGTTGCCATCATCTCGCGAAATTTGTCTTCTATATTCCTTATTCAAATTTAACTTAAAGTTTGACGCGCTTACTATATAAGTACTCGAATCGCAAAAGATACTGAAAGTTGGATAACAATAGAATGCTTAGTTTAGTCAATGCATGTTTTATTTCCAAAACCCATTATTTTTATAATGAGGATGTAGATGAATAATATTCCTAACTATTAAATTTGGAAGTATGCCCTACATGCCTCCCTCCATTTCGAAGTTGTGGGTCTTCATTGCATTTCTATTATTATTCCCTTGGGTTCTAAGTAGAACATAGGGCTTCAACACTACATCTCCACTTTATCCTGTTCTCTGTAACCCTCTTTAGCTGACTCCATAACTGCCCATAGGCTTTAATCTCCTGCATATCTCCCTCGGACGACCAACTCATCGTTTCCCATTCGGGTTCCACTGGAGGGAGTGTCATGCGGTGTCATCCAATGGTCTCCTCAGTGTGTGTACAATCCATCTCCATTTTCTTTGGAATATTTGTTGAGTAAAAGGTTCTTAGTTGGTTCGTTTCCAAAATACCTTCTTACTAATGTCTTCTGAACCTCTGATCTTCAGTATAAAACCACCGAAGGCAGCTATTGGTAAAATTCTGCAGCAGTCTGTTGGAGATGTTTTCCGTGACGTGTAGTGTAATTTTCTAACCCACATGGAAGCAGTGACTAACTTAACATTTGTGATGAAAATCTGAATTTTTTTCCTTTGTATCGAGTGCACTTGATTTCCAAACTGACTAGACTGAAATACATCTGTCTGCTTTCGATATAGAACTTTGCACCGATGTGCAGCAGTTCAAGTCGCCACACTCCATGTAGCACACAAAGCAAGAGAAGAACGTAGAAGGAATGCAAAACAGCGACAGTAAACAGGGTTATCAGACAAAAGTAATAGTAATAACGAAAAACAAAATAGTTTCATTGGAAATTATAAGTCACAAGGAGTGGATGCATCTGCGCCATCCATCGAGAACGATTTTGAGCCATGTCACCAATTGTCTCCAGCCATTGGTGTTTACCGTCCCAAGGACCCCAACCAGGAAGTCTACACCTTCCTACCTGGCTTAAACTAACTGTTGTGTATTTCATTGACTGTTGCGATGTTTTGGTTTGACCGCCGCTAGCTCTTTTTCAAACTGACCCTATGTCAGCTAACATTGCCCGTCGAGGAAGGCGATGACTAGGAATGCATGCATAACACATGCCCTAACCATCTCAGTCGATGTAACTTCACAGCCTCGTCGATTGATTTCCCCTTTATGGCTGTGAGACCTAACCATTGAAAGCGGGAGACTGAAATGCACCTAAATATATCCTTTGATCTGATTAGATTAAGTTGATGTTTTATGTAGATGGAACGATCACTCATATGAAAGATAAGTCTGTGCATTCTTTTGATTACTAATTGTCTTTTTATGAAGTGATGAGGGAATAAAATTTGAAATTTATACCGCCTTTAAACATTAGCTACTTTTTAGGTATTCAGTACACAAACAACAGTTTGCAAAATAAATCCAAATGTTTATGACTAAGAGAAAAGCCTTTTCAGCCTGAAATCCAGCTCTATTAATCTGGAAACGTTGAAGCATTACTCATTAGACTACTAACTACGTCTTATTCAATGGGGTTAGTATATCTCACTGTCGGATTATGTAACTCCTCAGATGTCAAATCAATTGATTTCTGTTGCCTTATGAATACCTTTACTCGGCCACCTCAACAGTGTCAATATTTTTCCTTTGGTTCTATTGTCTTAAGCGTACAGTGTGTTGGAAATCAGAAAATAGACTAAGGAATTTTATCGACAACTCATTTTGAAGGTCTTTAAATAGCGAATTCTTTTTCTTTTAGTGTATAATAATCTTTGTGATCAGTCTATCTAGATGTTCTGTTCAGTTTTAACACGTTCTTTCCATATGAATAATTATTTCCTTAAGAGTTGTTCATACACAACCTAATACAAACAAATCCATGTCATCTGTTTTCACTTTCTCATAATTATCTTAAAATTTGAAAGGAACATTACTCACTTAAAGTGTATTTGTTCATTTTTTATTAGGTCGCATTAAAGCAATACAATTAGACTATTCAGCAGCTCATGGTTACCTGGTTTCAGCCCTTCGTAAAGCTCCTCAGCATACAGCTACCGGTTTTAAACAAGCTTTACACAAGCTAAATACAGTTGTAGAATTATTGTTAGGTGAACAACCAGATCGTTCTATATTTCGTCAGGCTTCATTTAAAGCTGCTCTACAACCATATTTCCAATTAACTCAAGCTATTCACGCTGGTGACCTGTCACGATTCAATGATGTTCTTCGAGTACACGGTGCTCAATTCTCTGCAGATAAAACCTATACTCTAATTATTCGACTACGTCATAATGTTATTAAGACGGGTGTACGACGAATATCACTCAGTTATTCTAGAATTTCCCTGGCAGATATCGCTAAGAAGCTTCAATTGGACAGTACAGAAGATGCAGAATATATAGTTGCCAAGGTAAGGATTGTTAATCTTTTATACACAACCACAATATTATCTCTGAGAACGACATATTAAATGTTTTCAGAAAGGAGAGGAGAATATCATGACATATAATTATTATACGTTAATATTTCGTGTTCAGTTTATATGCAACTTGGTTGATGTAATATTGTAGTACTGGCTAAGTGTTCAGATTTTTATTAAAGTATATATTTCATAGCAAGTTATTGTATTCCGTTTTACATATGTTGAGATGAAAGGTGGTAGCACCTATCCAAATAAATGGGACTGAAAATCACAATTAGTTATCATTCATATGTGTGAGTGACAGTTTAGTGAAGTGACGTTATATCTTGAACTGATGCGTAGATTAGCACTCGTCATGTTAGTTAACTTTGAATGTTGCTTCTACAGAAGGTCAGAAGGCTAACAGTGCTAGCCGACACACATTGACAAAACAATGTAGAAGAAAAGGCGTTCAGTGAAGAGTTACACTTTTCGGCGATATCATTCTCAAGCTGGACAATTGCATGTGTACAGTAAATTGTCTTAGCAACAAAAGGAGTATTTCCATAGACATGTCATTAGAATTGGGAATTTTTTTTAGATAACAAATTACGCAATGTAGAAAGCGTTAATCGGGTAGAAAGTAAAATTAAATTAAATAAGTTGAGTGACTTAATATAACTGAGAGGGGATTGAGTAGAATTCAACCAAAAATTAAATGAGTCAAGTTAACAACAATTGTAATAAGGGGTAGAAATTTAATATGTGGGGAAAGAAAATAATACAACTAAAAATAAAAAAACAATAATTACATATCCGGTGTTAGGATAGCTCAGGTCCATTGTAGATTTAATGACTGAACAAACTTTTTGATGCAGAATTCAGGATTTAATATGTGAGTCGCCATTGCTTCTGCAATTTGAAGAAGTTTGACTCGCACTCCCTTAGCAAGATTCCCACGTATTCTGCAGATAAATTTGAAGCTGGTTTGTGGGGGTTATTTTGGTGTCCATATTTGATCAGGAGTTCCAGGATAGAGCTTTGGTAAAGAGATCCTCTTTATCCTTTATAAAACCATGAGGGCAAGTATGTCGATGATACGTTTGGATAGCAAACACTGTGTACGACTGACATACCTAGCTCCACACGAGCAGGTGAATCGGTAGATGCACACTGATAAGACCAGAAGGAGTAGCTTATCCATCACAGTCATGCGAATCATTTATTTCGTAAAGAAAGTCAGTCGTAGTTCAACCGCGAAGGTTTACTTCAGTGATCGGGACAGCTGGTTTCTCATTATTTTAATCCATGAGTCTGAATTGAATTGTAGATTGAAGTAGAGACGCTTTTTGGGAGGCGAAAGTGTGGGTGGTTTAAGTGGTCTTGGGTTTCATGGATTTTGGTTGTGAAACGTTGTAGGTAGCTGTTTTCGAGGAGGATTCTTTTCAGAGTGTTCAGCTCCTCTTCCTCAGTGTCAAGACTGCAAATTCTGCGGATTCTATGACTCAGTGAACGGATCAGATTACGTTTTGTATAGAGAGGCACCCAACTATGAAATTTAGTGAGTTGTTCGTTTCATGTCGGCTTTCTATCGATTGATCTTTTTAGTGTTCCATCTTGTTAACTGAACTTCCAGAAAATATATTTTTGTGTCGGACTCCTTCCCTAATGTGCACTGAATTGCAGGATGACAGCTGTTGGAAACGATGTAGAAGTCACTACTAACTTTTGTGTGTGCGAGTTGCCAAACTTCTCAATAGTATTGAAGAGGGAACTGATATACGTACGATGCCATTTAATTATTTTTAAAGTATGGAGAAACGTGGGTTAACTAGTTTATGTCTTATGACAATCCAATCAATTCTATTCTTGACCGTCCTGCTTTTCAAATAGTTTAGTTATGGTTCTGTCGTTAAGATAATCAGTTATTAAAACTATGCAAACTGTCCGAAGTTTCAGCCTGTTCATAGTGTCATTGGTCTTCACACACATTGGGTATAGCTCGTTTCCATGAACTTGATAGATTAGTCACATCATTTTATGTAAAATATTGGAAATCATTTGTCTGTTTCATCTGTTTTTATTATTTTGAAAGGCTATACGAGATGGTGTTATCGATGCTGTAATTAATCATGAGAAAGGTTTTGTAACTACAAATGAAACATTAGATTTGTATTCAACACGTGAACCATTCAACCAGTTTCATCAACGTATTAAATTTTGCCTCGGTATACATAATCAAGCTGTAAAAGCAATGCGTTACCCACCAAAACAATATACCAAGGATATTGAATCTGCTGAGGTGAGATGATGATGATGATGATTATGTACTTTTGTTTTAGGTTTTTTTTTTCTAATCAGTTTGTTTGATAGGTAAATCACTTATATTCTAGAATAAATTCTACCGGATTGATATCATTTAAAGAACCAAAGAGTACTGGGCATCTGTTTCGTCGTAGTTTGGACTCATCGGCAGTGTGCACCCACTGGGTTTCGAACGCAGAGGTTTCCAGTTGTCTGGAGTTCTAGTGAGAAGTTGTGACTAGTGGAGTCTACCCGACCCGGAGTGTGAGAACAAATAGTCACCACCAATAACTGGAAGGTCCTGGGTTTGAACCCCTCGTGGTAGGTGCATACTGCCGGTGAACTACAAACTAGGACGAAACAGCCCTACAGTACTTCAGTGCTGGTCTTCAATGGTTCTCTTCTAACTGATATCAATTTGTGATCAAAGTCTTGAGACAAATAGATTCCCTACAAATAAACTCAACTGAACAACTATGCAGGTCGATAACTTGCTATAATGATGAACTTTAAATCGATGTTGAATATTTGAAGACGATCTCTAAATGAAAACCTGAATATCTCTTTGATGCATATAAGGATTCACGAGAGAGTGGTTCTTGTCTTATTTTAGGTATTCTAAGTAGATGTTAATGAATTGCCTGATGTTTCTATGTTTCAATCATTTTTGTTTGTTTTCATATAACTGATATATCTTTTACAGAAGCGATATTTGAGAAATCATACAGTCACTAGACAGTTTAAAAAAAAACTACTAGAGTATTGCCTGAATGACAGTATAGTTAAGTAATTTTTTTATTCCCTTACGTTCCCAGTGGAACATAGGGTGGCTTCAAGCTAGAGGCTTGAAGTTTCTGTAGCAGTGGTGTTTATTTTGACGGGATGGGGTTGCTAGCCTCATGCCCAACCTTCCCTTTTTACCAGTCATATTATTGACTTAGCGAGGTAAAGGAGTGCGTCGGTGGTCGGGGATCGAACCTCGAACCACCTGCGTGGTCGGCGAGCACTCTACCGCCGTGCAACGGACGCACAGTTAAGTAAGTAAATCATTGTAACTCTGGGTTCCCAGTTGAGTTCTTTATATTATTAGACTATAAACCACATTGTAGTCATGACGTGAGAACTGATGTGTGATGTCAGTCTATCGTTCGAGTTGGGACCAAATTAGGCAAGTAAGGATAATATAATGCTTAAGCCAATAAGTAGTTACACGCGTACAAATTGATTTTCCTTCTTTTTACTCCACATGAATATACAATTATTTTCACTGAATTCTTTCTTTTCGTTTTCCTGTTTCTTTTTTTGTTTTCAAGGAGCGTCGTGAAAGAGAACAACAAGAGCTTGAGAATGCTAAAGAACTCTCTGAAGATGACTTTGATGCATACTCTTGAATCTCTTATAAGTGGCAGTATCTCATGGTTTAGGAATAACAGAATTGTCAATTGGTTAGCTTGTGACATCATTATAATAAAATATGGCTAAAACAAAATGACCACTAATGCTGCTTAACTAACTCTTTGTGAATTATATATACATATGTATGTTTTCGCCTTTCAAATCAATTGTATTATGGAAAGTCAGTCTTTTGTCTTCTTTTTTTTCGACTCTTGTGTAGTTAGTTGCTCTATGCGTGATTATTGGACCTTTTAGATACTATATTAGTCAAGCTTATAGGGCTCTATTATGGGTATCATAGAAGGGCTTGTATTCCTTCTTATGAATTGGGATTATCGATAGCTTGTGCCAGTTTGATGGGACTGTCTCAGATTCTAACACGTTGCTTAATTCCACTACTGCTCACAAGTTTTCATTTTCATGTCACCCTCAGACACCCCATTCGGGTTTTATTCGACCGATGGCCTGGCGTTCGACGGTCTTCTCAGTATGTATCTGATCCATCTCCATCCTCTCCTACACATTTTTTTGAGCAACAGGTTCTTGGTTGGTTGGTTCGTTCCCAGATTGCCTTGTTACAGATGCTTTGTGACCCGCTATTCTTCAGCATGGAGCTAGCGAAGTTAGCTGTTGCTAAAAGTCTTCAGTAGGTTGTCTGAAATGCTTTTTCGTGACGCTCAATGCAAGTTTCTGACCTATATAGAAGAACTGACCTGACATTGTTGTTGAAAATTTGAATTTTGTTGTTTGTGTTAAGTGCACCAGATTTCCAAATTGATTTTAGAATAATGAAGGTCGTTTGCCTTGCCTCTCTGATCCTAGCTGTGACATGCTCCTTTGCGCCGTCTGTAGTTGAAATGATGCTGCCCGGTTGAAATACGTGAAAGAAATGACCGCGTTTGAATTTCTCCCATTGGTAGTGATTAGTGCTTCTTGTTGTTATTGGTTAGTTATCTTCATCACTTCTGTTCTCTCCGTACTCAATTGAAGTCCTGTCTTCGCTGCTTTTTCTGTCAACATGTTGGTGTTCGCCTGTAAGTCTTCGAGTTCATGTGACATTAGTCGTCAATCATGCACGAAATCCAGATCTTCTAGAGTCATCTTATCGGTCCAACGTATTCCTGTCTTCTCACACCCCACACACTGTCTTCCACATAATCCAGTCCACCACAATGAAGAATATCATCGGTGATAGTAGGTAGCCTTATTTTACTCCTGTTTTCACTTTAAAGGATTCCACTGTGAATCACTTGCCATGTGGCATTGTCATATGGCTGTTGAATAAGGTTAACAAAGGTTTGGAACACTGCTTAGTGTTGAAGCAGTTTCCAAATTACTTCGCGGTTATTGCCATTGAAGGCCTTTTAGCGTAGACAAGAGTATTATTCGGCGCAAGCTGTTGCAGAAACCTGAGTTGCCCTTCTTTGGTTATTTGACAAGGTCGTCTTTCTTCCAATCAGTAGGTACCTTCCTTTCCACCCAAACTGTGTACAATAGTGGCGTGAGTATATCTTCTGAGGTCTCTGCGTTCGTTTTCAGTGCTTTCAGAGAGATTCCTACATCCATCACTTTTCCATTATTGGCCATATACTTATTATATCTGCGACACATTCCCGTTTGTTATAGTCACGTTGCAAATTTTCCTCTGCTTCTGTTCGCTTAATGAAGTAGGTCGATGTGGACTGTTTCATTTTTGTGCAGAGTCTCAATTTTATGAAGATAGTTGAATTATTATTACTGTAGATGAATGCATCACATGGCACACGAATAGAATTTTGGAACTGGTAAAGTATAATCCAATTGTGGAATAAATATATTCTAAGACAGAGTGATATTGTTATTTACTGACGAAGTTTCTAGGTTAATTTATTGCTTATCACATTAAGGCAGCCACATTTAAAGAACCTGTTGGGCCTTATGATAATCTGGTTGGTTACCTGACTAACATACAAAGGTGGTGGTGTTGTCGTGAGGAATAGCCAAGATTACAACAATATGATCTCAGTGATTCTCTCTGATCAAGTGAAATTCACCGAACCCGACGGTGAAACAAACAAGACATCCAATTGAAAATCAACTGATAGGTGTTTTAAAATACACGGAAAATAAATCCGTAATCTCGTCAGACTTGTATAAACATATCCGATCAGTAGGCCCTAAAATGCCAGGTTTGTATGGACTTCTGAAAATTCGCAAAACAGAATTACCCCTCCGTACGATTCTCGATATGGCGGGTTCTTCTTGATATAAGAATAGAACTTGTGCACTGTGGTAGAGTATAATTTCCTTATGGGTGAAATTTATTTTGATGAAGTCTCTTAGTGTATTATACAGTAATATCTACTGATGACCACGTTTCGAGCACAATTTATTGCCACTCATAATCATGCCAAGACACTATTCACACAACTTTCTAACTTCGTTTATGTAATTGCATTATTTTTCATCGCTTGATTGGTAGTAGTATTTTCCATATTTCCGGTATGAGTGATGAGTCATTCCTATTGCACGTGTTGGGTGTAGACTCGATGAACAACGATTCAGTAATCAATCTCTCTCCCCACCTACCTATATTACTTTTAGGATTTTCACTCTGTTCAACCTCATTGTGTGGTTGAGTATTAATGCATGCAGTACGATTGGTGAGTTTTCATCTAAATTACTTACCTTTGTGGGGTCAACCATTCTTACCTTACCTAAATTCTTATGTCTCGACAATCTGACTACATCCGACCTACTAGTTTGACCTATGTAGTTGACCTTAAAACCACTGCGGGGTATTTTGTAAATTATAATATTTTGCCTAATTGGGTCAGCAGGGTCCTCTAACCTACAGAACTTGTCCTATCTGAGTGAGTTTGTAGGTTCTCCTTGTCGCGCTTTTGCTTAATGGCTGGCTGAAATACTGCGACCATTTAGAAGGCGAGTGTCTAAGTTTTCCATTGATGATACATTTTAATTTATTGAGAGTATTAAGGATTTTAATATCTCGGACAAAATCATATTCTCATTAGATTAGTGAATTCGCTATTCACTAATGTATCTCTCACGGAAACTGTTTGCTATGATATGCGATTATATTGATGCACATAATTTAGACATAGATTTGCCAACGACATACCTTAAAGAACTCTTATTGACATGCACTCTGAATGTTCAGTTCACTTCTAATGATGAGATTTTTAGGCAGATATATGGCATTGTGACATTTATAGGAGATACGTAGACGACACTTTCTTTATCTGCGATAAGAACGTAATTCTCGATGATGTCTTGTTTGCTTTCAACAATTTCCATCCCACCCTGCAATTCATCATAGAAAAAGAATCTGAACTAAGCATTCCCTTACTTGATGTGTGCCTCAGTAGATGCTATGAGGATCTTCGGAAGATCCACCCACCAGAAATGTATATGGAATGGGAAACTAACTAATTTTTATAGTTGGGTGCCTATCTCCAGGCCAAGGAACTTAATTCACTCGCTACGCCTTGAGATAAATATTTGTAGTTCTAACTGCCTTGACACAGAACTCTCCTTCCTAAAAGCCATGCTGGCAGAAAACGGCTACCCGAACCAACTTATTGACAGAAGGGGGAGAGATAAGGAGTTCAAACTGGTCACTGACTCGGTCCCAAAGGAAACCATCTTCTTGAATTTGGAATTCAAAGGTTATCAGGCTTCAGATATGCTGAAGAATCGTTACTCTAGATCAGTAAGACGCCGTCGCGGCAAAATTACAAATACCCTTCACCAGCAGTATGTTGTTGTCTTCGTCTGTAAAAGATAAGCTCCCTAGTTTGGCCACCTCCATGTACATCTGTCAACTCACCTCTTCACGTGGCACAAGGTACCCTGGTCATACTTAGAGAACGCTTTCCACTCACGGATACAAGAACATATTCCAGCATGTTTTTACAAGGGGAAAATAAAGGGTGTTCGACTTCTGCGATTCTAGTAATCTGACCATGATTTTAAGATCATCTATCGAATTCATACTAACTTGTCGCGTTTTCTTTGTTATAAACTTCTAAACACAGCGGAGGCCTTGGCCATTCATGAATTTGAGCCGGAGATTTGTGTACAAAATAAGTATGTACACTCCCTATTTCTCCCTTGGTCGTAGAGGAGTAGATATTTATTTATTTATTATTATTTGTTTAATTAGTTAATCTATGTACCTCTCCATCATTACTACGATTATTATTATTATTATTCTCGCTTCGAATTGTTTCCACTTGTCCCACCTGTCATTCTTACTCCAAAACGAATTTTTTATCATGTTGAATTCCATCTTCAGCGAAGAGACTCTTTTTAACAAATTTGTTATCAAGCTGTACAGTCGTATATGGTTTTCTTTATTCAGAAACTGTATCTCGGGAGGAAATTTTAGCAAAGGTATGAAGTATTAATAGTATGAAATGCAATTAAAATGTTTGTGATTATAATCATAGTTAAGTGTCAAGTGGCAAAACAATTATTGTCATATATAGAATAATACATAGGATGTATAGAACTTAGAAGGGGTGTGAAATTATACGATTAGTAGACAAATCGAATAAAACAAAGCTTTACGTAACATTCTGTGTGTGTGTGTGCGTCGGTGGTATAGCGGTTAGGAGGCTCGCCGACCATGCATATGGTCCGTGGTTCGATCTCCGGCCGACGCACTCCTTTACCTCGCTGAGCCAGAAATAATGCTCGTAAAGAGGAAAGGTTGGGCATGAGACTAGCAAATGAAAATAGTAATAGTAACAATTGACGTAATAAAGGAAGAGTATACAAACTGAATAGACAAAATGAAAAATTGGTAGAGCCAAAATATGATTAGGGATTACCATACTTTAGCATAGAGGGATTAGGACCATGAAAGTTGGAGGTGTTGAACGAACTTTTTCTGTACACAGAGATCTGGCTTTTCTGTTTTGATAGCCAAAGCTTCAGCAATACAGATGGGTCGGGTACTTAGTGATTTGGGTAAATTACTTTTTGCCTTGTAGATGAGTTTAAAGGCGGAGGCTATAGAGATAGGGTGATCATTATCGACCAGATGTTCAATGATCGCGCTTCTTATAGCTCCACTCACACCTCTTCATAAAAGTCATGCAGGATAGTGTTCTGCACTCTCTTGGACAAAACTCGTTGAACGACCGATATACCTAGCTCCACATGAGCAGGGGGATTGAAA